CTCAGTCAGGGGGAGATTGCTACAGTAGCAATCGCCCAGTGAATGAGGTTGTGGAATGTGGTACGCAAAAGTTGTGTCAATGTTGGGAGCTTGTGAAAAGGGCGTCCCGGGATTCAGTGTGATTTATGTCAATGAACTTGCATTATGCACAATCCAATTAGTAATGCAGGCCCGCTTCTGCGACTGCATCGTGTCTGTGTATCGCCTGTCCCTATTCTCACATCTCCGCATCCAAAGCTTTCAATAATTAACCCAACTGATAACCCTAACGAATTTAATTCCACCAAGAATAATGAGGCACTCGTTTTTCTAGCTTCTGGAGGTTTATCGTTTTTTTCCTTGCTGGGATTCACAACGAACCTCTGTGCTTACTGAGGAACGTAATAGCTTCACCTGATCATGGAGTGTTCCTTCACGAATGGCTATCTTACTTACCCACCACCTATTGTTCATTCAAACAATACACACAACTAGGATAGTTAATCTGCGCCGCTACTCAAATTTTTGAGTTCGGATTCACGTTGAAAATTTTCAAAAATCGGACTTATTTGCGCTGCGCTGAGACGTGGCCATTTTATGTTAATCTTTTCTTTAGAGCTCCTCGTTAACTGAATCATCCTCTCTTAATCCTGTCAACGATTCCTTTATAAGCGGCGTTTCGTCGCGGTAAACATGATTACTCAGAATTCTTGCGAGCAATGAACGACAGCTATTACGCTTTCCAGAAACGCAACCAGGGGTTCTTCCCGGGAAGCATCACAGCGGAAAGGTTAACACAGCGCGTGACATCCAAAAATTATGCAGAGTAAGGTCAAGGGGCAGACATAGCGTTATGAATGAGTGACATTCAAAAAAATTCCTAGAATGCGCATTTTTAGAAAGTATCCTGGTTCGCCGACCGTGTCATTTCACACTCCGGACGCTGAAGCTCCTTTGACGTCAGGCTACGTCCGTGCAAAGTCAGACTTTGAGGAGCTATACGAGGTTAGTTTGCCGTTTAGACATTAGTTTCCAAAGATAGAATTCACTCAAAAACTTACTTTTCAGAGCATCTCTCGGTCGACTATCTAACCACTTTTCTAACGATCCGGACAAACCCAAGAAAAAGTCAAAAAGAGGTCTGTTGTCGTATGCCTTCACAACCTAATGTTTCAGTCTCTCCTGCTTGCGTTGAAAGGAAATTTCTGCGCATCCAAGAAGCAGCAGCTTTCAGAGTTACTACCCGTGCACAGCGGTGCTTTATTTGTATTTCTGTTGGGTCTTTGAAAGAGAAGCTACGAAAAAGAGTCCTCGACACCAGTTCCCTTACTTTTGTATCGTAAGT